CCATGCCCACCCAGAACAAGAGCAGAGGACACTAGCTCAGCTCAAATGTATGAATTAATAGCATCAATATTAAATAACAGCAGAAAGTTATAGAGGAATTAAGCACCAGCAGAAAGTTGTAGAGGAACTCAGAGTGGAATTCTTTTCTGAAATAAAAAAAAGAATTCTCAGAACTCATAGCAACCGAAATAAAGAATGAACTACAGAAACTTAGGTAGGAAACCCAATCTAAAATGCATAAGGATGCCAGAGAGATAGCTCAGCAGCCTAAAGTACCTTCTTAGGCAATCTTAGGCATGCACAGGGACTGCAGTCCCATCCCCAGCACAATAAGCTGCACCAGCCCCACCCTCATGGTTGGCTGAGCCTGCCACAAAAAAGCTCAAACATTGTATTTCTTGACAAATAAATACCAGGAAGAATGAGATATAAGAAAAGGAAATAATTCTACATTTCCAACAAGTGAAAAGACAATAAATTTGTTCAATGTAATTCAGTAGTAAGAACAAGACATTAAAAGAAAGACTGTAAAGTCAGTATCAGTCAAATCCATAGAAATATTGTCAACAGATAGATGCCTATGACTTAGTAAAAAACTTGGCCTCACTCAAAATATCTAATAAAATGAATCAAATTTAAGAAAATTATTGTAAATAAAGTCAAGTAAGAAAAAGAATGAATGTGCAAACTCATATAGGAACATACTGCAATCCTGAATGTATTTTTTCTTTACTTTTTAAAAATAATCTTATTGAGAAACAAATAGCAATGAGACAGTTTCAAAACTGATTGCTAGCACAGTTTCAATAATTAATACATGCATATTGGTGTCTTTGTGGTTATTCATTGTACAAGATGAATACATAATATCCTGTCCATAAACACTATTAAACAGATATCACTATTCACTGAATTAAGAGAATGAAGCTGTATATCTATCCTATTTTGAATATATAGATAAGAAATGATCGTTCATTTATATCTCCCTTTGTTGGCTAGTTTTGTCAGAGAAGGGCATTGCATTGTAATTTAAATATTGTAGGTGTGTGAATTCAGCAAAATATTCCATTATAGTCCAGTAGCCCATAATAGTAGTGAGTTTTCTGTAAGACTGACAATGTCAGAAGTTGTTGACTTGAGCTTTTGGAGCACAGCATATTAATATGGATTTACTTTTTGTATTCCATTTTTATTCTTTTCAGCTGGATGGCTAACACCAAGCTAAAGCAAGACCTATATAACAAGAAATGTAACTTCCGTATGTGCCAAGGTCAGTCAAATGCCCTCAGGATTTATCCTGAAACCGTGTTCCTCAGTTTTCAGATCCTTTGTCAATATCAGTCATGTGGATGAGTCATGGTCATTGCTTGACCAATTTGCTTTCTGTGAAAGCCTGAGACAATGTTTTCTCTCCATGTGACTCTCTTTGAGCACACTTCACATCATCAATCACTTTCCTCTTTTGCCCTATAATGTCCTTGATCAGTAAATTTGGGACACTACTGAATTATATGGAGTTACAGAATAGGATCTCCTATGTCCTGAGTCTTCACTGACCTTGAAAGGCTAGGGCCAAAATATTGGCTGTCCTTGCAGCCCTTCTATTTCTCTAATTTTCAGTCTGCAGACTTAGGTTGTTAGCCCTCCAGAAGAGAAACTTATAATTATTACCCGATAACATTGGCAGTTGAGCTTTACCTCACTATCTGTCTGAATATCAAACATCTTAGGCATACCATGGAACAGGTGTTTTCCATCAAGTATTTGCATGTTAAACTTTAAATACCTCCAGAATATAAAGAAAAAAATTTTTTTCATTAAAAGTTTTATTTTTTTTGTATTTTAGAGAAGGGCCTATAGGGTGTACAGGGTCTCACTACTAGATCGGACTTGTAGTGATCCGCTTGTTTACAGCTTCCCAAGTGCTGGGATTACAGGTGTGCACCACCATGTCCAGTCTCAATTGCCATCTCAGCATACCCCGTGTTTAGGGCTGGTACAGCAGGCCTAGGAATTAAAACTCTGGACCCTGCTAGCAAGCGCTTTAATACAGTGAACTATTTGGCTGGCGCTCTTTAAATATTTTTTAAAAAGAGAATGCAAAAGAATAAAAACAAAAAGAAAACAAAAGCAAATGTTACAGAATTTCATTGAAAAAAGCAAATTGGGTGATATTGGTCATAGTGCATAGTGTTTTCTTCATCTTAGCTGTTTAGATTACCAGATATATGTATGCGAAATTGGAGAAAGAAAAAAAAAAGTGTTGTTTGCGGTGCGCTAAATTTTGAGACAGGATCTCTTCCTATGCGGTTCAAACTGGTATTGAGCTCATTTTGTAGACCAGGCTGGTCTTGAACTCACAGGGACCCTCCCGCCTCAGCCCCTCTGGCACTGGGATTACAGGAGTGCACCACCACATCCGATTGGCATATCTTTTATTATTTTTTGTTTTAAAATAAAGTAAAAATGAGAATTAAAACAGAAAATATTACAGTGATAGATTTTCACTTAAGAAAAACTTATGAATTTCACAATATTTGTTGTAATACATAGTGTTGACTTCCAACCAATTATTCATGTTTGCAGATATATGCATGCAAAATTGGAAAAAGAATGAAAAAAAGAGAAATATATAAGAAAATAAGATGGAGAAAGAGCACAAACAATTGAAAAAAGGAGACAAAATAAATTAAATCATTAACTACTTCTCTCTAGAAACCAACAGAATGCGCAGTATAATTGTTGAAAGCATCCTGCTTACATTACATTAATATGTATTTAGCCCATTGAAAGAATTATTTGTAAAACTGAATTTAGATATTAAATGCATTTGGGTTTTCATAAAGTTTCTATTATCTAGCTATAAGTACAAATATGTGCACAGGATAATTCCAGGTGTGTCATCAAAACTTTGATAAGTTTTTTTTTTAAATCTTATCATTCCTGGAAGGAGAAAACATCTTTATCAGAGTATATATAACACTTTGTACTAATGAACACCCATTTTCTGTTACATACATTGACTTTTGGAAAGACATTTATTTTATTATTTATTTATTTACATTTTTGGAACTGCGGATTGAACTCAGGTCCTTGGACTTGCCAGGCAAGCGCTGATTCTACTGAGCCATCTCCCCAGCCCCCTACATTTCTTTTACATTATCCCTTTAAAGATAACTTAAAAGAATACTGTCCATGTTCATCCATGAGGAAATGGATAGGAGGTAATAGATATGTTGATTTGCTTGATTTAAATATTGGAAAATGTAAATAAATTCAGTGCTTCAGATTTCATCCCATAAAAATGAACAGTTAGTAATGGACAATGTTTAGTGAAATTAAAAAAATCAATCAAATGAAAATATCAGTCTTCCTTAGCTAAGTAAGAAATGACTTGCAACAAGGATGCTGTATTTCTCAGGAGCTGCTTTGCACAGGTAGGAACTCAGTGAACCTCTAGAATCTTCTGTTAGTGGCCATGGAAACCACACTGTGCATGTGGTGTGACCTGCTTTGGATGCTGGCTGATAACTATATTTAATGAACTTGTAGGTCATGAGAACTGCCAGTGAAACAAAGTCCAAAATTATTGTTTGCTTGCACCAGATTTGGTAACCATTCTGCCGGGATTGTTAATTCACAAAGATAACACATAGTAAGACAGCAGAGGAAAAAGAATCAAAGAGAAGTGTCTTCTTATGAAACAGAAGATAGTTCACTTCAGAAAAATCAAAACTTCTGAAGAGGCCACATGATTTACAACACATGCAGTACCCAACTTAAGAGTAAATGTGTGGACTTTTGTCAAAACTTCCCAACATAAGATCAATAAAATAAATCATTAAGGGAATGTTATGTATAATATATAAAAAGATAAAATAGTTTTGTGCTGGAAACTTGGACAAAACCATGTAATTCTATCAAAAAGTTGAAAGCATTAATATATTGCATAATTATCATTATATTGTATTAAAGTTCACACTAGTCTCATTAAAATTAAAATGACTTTTTCTGGCAATAGCATAATTTACCTTAAAGGAAGTTAAATCAATGGGTCACAGACAAAATTAAACAAGAAACTGAGTAATATCTACAATTCAAAGAAAACTCAAGCACAACTTATCAGAATTTATGTGATGCTATGAAAGCAGTCCTCAGAGGGAAATTTATAGCTGTGAACTCACATATCAGGAAAACAGAATGGGAAAAAATAAACACCCTAATGCTGCAACTTCAACCACTAGAAAAGGAATAGCAAACCAAACCCAATGCCCAAAGATGAGAAGAAATAATAAAGATTAGAGCAGAAATTAATTCAATTGAGGTGAAGAAAACAATTCAAAGAATTAACAAATCAAAAAGCTGGTTCTTTGAAAGACTTAATAAAATTGATAAACCGGAGCGACGCCCCCTGGTCCCCACCGCTCCCGCTGCTGCTCCCGCCCCTCCGCTCCTCGGCCGCGCCATGGGCACCCGCGACGACGAGTATGACTACCTCTTCAAAGTTGTCCTTATTGGAGATTCTGGTGTTGGAAAGAGTAATCTCCTGTCCCGATTTACTCGAAATGAGTTTAACCTGGAGAGCAAGAGTACCATTGGAGTAGAGTTTGCAACAAGAAGCATCCAGGTGGATGGGAAAACAATAAAGGCACCGATATGGGACACGGCAGGACAAGAGCGATACTGAGCTATAACATCAGCATACTACCGTGGAGCTGTAGGTGCCTTACTGGTCTATGACATTGCTAAACATCTCACATACGAAAATGTAGAACGATGGCTGAAAGAACTGAGAGACCATGCAGATAGTAACATTGTTATCATGCTGGTGGGCAATAAGAGTGATTTACGTCATCTCAGGGCGGTTCCCACAGATGAAGCGAGAGCTTTTGCAGAAAAGAATGGTTTGTCATTCATTGAGACATCAGCTCTAGACTCAACAAATGTAGAAGCTGCTTTTCAGACAATTTTAACAGAGATATACCGCATTGTGTCTCAGAAGCAAATGTCAGACAGACGTGAAAATGACATGTCTCCAAGCAACAATGTGGTTCCTATTCATGTTCCACCAACCACTGAAAATAAGCCAAAGGTGCAGTGCTGTCAGAACATCTAAGGCATTTCTCTCCTCCCCTAGAAGGCTGTGTATAGTCCATTTCCCAGGTCTGAGATTTAAATATGTTTGTAATTCCTGTGGCCACTTTTGTGTTTTATTACTTTACTTCCTCATACTTACGAATTCTTCCATGTCTTAAGTCCTTTGATTTTAGATTTATAAAATCATCCACTTTGTGCTGAATGACTGCAGTTTTTTTTTTTCTCCATGCTATGGCTTCACTGGTCTTAGTTTAATAAACTGAATGTTTGAATTCCTCTGTTACTGTTTACTTTTCATCATGAAAGCCTGTCTTTGTAGGACATAGTTCAACTTTCTCACTTGAAGCTCAGACCCATTGGTCTTGATCTAATCCAATGAAGACCTTAGAAGTAAGCTATTATTTTGCCACAGAGCCGCTTAGAAGTAGTACACTCTTCTCTCAGTGCAGCGTATATTTCGACAAATCTAAGAGTTGCCCTATAAACATAGCAGGATTTTGTGAAAATTTTCCATTATTCTGGAAATCAATTTCTAAAATGCCTTAATAGGTTTATGTAGTTTAGTACATTTTGGTTTAATTTTTGTAAGCGTCATAATTGATGAGAAAGGAGGGCACTTTTTTGTGGACAGGGATTATCCTAATAAACAAAAAAGATTGTTAACAGTTTGGATTATGTTATGATTTGGGTGCTGTAAGTTGAACAGTGCTGCCTGGCAAGCTAGGAACTAGAGAGACTGGTGGAAAGCCTTCTGAAGTGCCTCTGTTGCAGTGATTAGGCAGCCCAAGTCATTGAACTGATCTCACTTCCCAGCAGTAGATTATGTGGCATTTTATTGCCCAGGCAATAACTGGTTTAATGTTGGTAATATCAAATTTTGAAATACTAATATTGTTTAAAAACCTTCAAGTAAGTGAAATACAACCTAGTTTTATCACCATATTCACCAGCAGGCACGGGTGATTATTTTAGCAATGCTAATATTTGAGTTTTGCAGTGTATAATGGAATATAGTCCAGTTAAATCTTCAGTTTTAGTATGTCTAAAGGATACAGTGAGAAGTTAATCTATGCTCAAGTGGTACCATTTAAAGGCATGTATTCTTTAGTATGTAAAATGAAATAGTACCTTGATTTTAAATAGAATGCACTTAGGCATTAATAGAGAGCTGAAGTCATTTTTTTCCTACTACATTACTGGAATCCGCGGAGCAACTAGTTTCTCATTCAGAAATGTGCACACTGATACTTAGTTTTATTTCCTTATGTGGATAAGATTAAGCGCTTCTCTGCAGTATTCTGAAAGTTGTCAACTGCAGTGATAACTTCAGATGATGGATATCTGAAAAAATATATGTGTGGGCTTGCATAGATTCACTATGTTTCATAGTTAATCTTCTGTGTTTTGCGGTGCTCATGATGTGTGGGGTGCACGGAAGGCATTGCTGTAGTCAGTCATTTCCTGTGTAGCCATTTTATTGTTTTAGTGTACTGGTTATAAAGATACTATTATCTATTTGTAAATTGCTACTTTGTATTTTATGCATGCTCTGTAACTTGATTTTTTTTGATTTGGAATATATCTCATTCTAATAAACAGTTATAGGGGGTCAAAAAATTGATAAACCGCTAGCTAATCTCATCTAAAAGAGGGAAGAAAAAATTCAAATACAAGCAATAAAGAATGAAAAGGTTGTAATTGCCACAGACCCAATAGAATTCAAAAGACTATACATAGCTACTTAGAGAATCGCTACTCTCACAGAATGGAAGACAGAAGAAATGGAAAGATTCCTAGAAAGGTACAAATTACCAAAATTGAATCAAGAAGGTATAACAACCCCAACAACAACCAGTGAAATAGGAAATGTAAAAAAAATACCTAGTGACAAAAAATGAAGGGCCTCATGGATTCACAGCTGAATTCTGCAATAAAATTAGGGATGATGCAATCCCTATAATCCTCACACTCTTCAATGAAAATTGAAAAGGAAGTAATCCTTCCAAAATCATTCCTGGAGGACAGTACTATACTGATTCCCAAACCAGGGAAAGACATAAGTAATGAATAGAACTACAAGCCAATCACACTCAGGAACATAGATGCAAAAATCCTCAATAAAATCTTAGTAAATACAATACAGAAAGTCATCAAGAAAATTATACACCATGACCAGGTAGGATACATCCCAGGGATGCAAGGATGGCTCAATATTCAAAAATCTATAAATGTAACACACTGTATCAATAGAGCCAAATCTAAAATCTACTTGATTATCTCAATTGATGCAGAAAGGTCTTTTGACAAATTCCATCATTCATTCATGTTCAAAGTCCTACACAAAATTGGAATAGATGGGCTCTACTTCATTCTGATAAAAACCATCGATGACAACCATACAGCTAGCATAATTCTACATGGACAAAAGCTAAAAACTAATCTTTTACTCTCAGATCTGGTACACGACAAAAATGTCTTCTATCACCATTCCTATTCAATACAGGTCTGGAATTATTAGCTAGAACAATTGGACAATAGAGAGAACTGAAAGGAACAAGAATAGGTAAAAAAGAAGTTAAACTAACATTATTTGCAGAAGACATGATACGTTACTTAGAAGACCCAAAAAACTCCACCAAGAAGCTACTATAATTGATACACAAATTCAGTAACATAGCAGGATACAAGGTCACCACCCAAAAGTCAATAGCATTCCTCTATACAGATACCAAACACACTGAGGGAAATTAGAGAAACAATACCTTTTACAATAGCACCGTGGAAAAAAAAATACCTTGGAATTCATCTAACTAAAGAAGTCTAAGAACTTTTCAAGGAAAATTACAGTACTCTGAAAAAAGAGATCATAAAAGATTTCAGAAATTGAAAGCACATTGTCTTGTCATGGAGAGGAAGACCAAAATAATGATGATGGCCATACTCCCAAAATTGCTGTACAGATTAAATGCAATCCCTATGAAACTGCTGCCAACATAACTCACACATTGTGAAATCTTCCCTAAAATTTATTGAGAATTAGAAAATACATAGAATAGCAAAAGTAATCCTGTGCAACAAAGACAAGTCAGCATGTATTACAATTCCTGACCTGAAATTATACTATAAAGCTACTGTGCAAAAAATCATCATGGTATTGGCAAAAAATAGACGCGAGGACCAATGGAATACATTAGAAGATTCAACAGAATCTATGAACACACTGAGGCACCTTATTTTCCACAAAGGGGCCAAACATGCTTACTTCAAGAAAGATATCCTCTTTAACAAATGGTTCTAGAAAACCTGGGTCTCTACATGCAAACAACTGAAAGTTGACCCAGGTCTATCACAATGCACTAAGCTAACGTCAAAATGAATTAAAGATCTAAACATTAAAACATAAAGCCTAAATCTCCTGGAATAGAAAGTAGGAGGAACTCTTGAAGAGAGGTGCAGGCAAAGAGTTCATGAACAAAAATCAAATCGCATGGGTAATACTTGAAAGAACTAACAACTGGGACCAACTCTTATTGATAGGTATTTGCACATCAAAAGATATTACCAATAAAGTGAAAAGACAAGCCACAAATTTATAAAAATCTTAACTAATAAGAATTCAGACAATAATATTCTCTCTAGAGTTTATAAAAAAAACTAAAAAAAAATTAGGGCCCCTAAATTTAAAAAAACAATCTATAAATGTTTATTTGAGATGAACACACAGTTCTCAGAGGATGAAATTAAAGAAGTGAATAAATACATGAAAAAGTGCTCCACATCAATAGCCATCTTTGAAATGCAAATTAAAAAAACACTGAGATATCGTCTCACCCCAGAAAGAATGACTATCATAAAGAAATTAACAAACAACAAATGTTGGAGAGGCTGTGGGGAAAAGGGAAGCCTTCTCCACCACTGGTAGTAATATAGACTGGTGCAACCATTATGGAAATCAGTGTGGAGACTCCTTAAAAACTAGGACTCGAATTCCCATTCAAGAGATCAATCCCCCTACTGAGAATTTTCCAGAAGGAACTAAAAACATCGTATCATAGAGATACATGTAGCACAATTTGTGATAGCCAAATCTTGGAAACAACCAAGATGCCCATCACCTGAGGAATGGATGAAAAGTTGTGGTATTTTTATACAATGGAGTATTGCTCAGCTATAAAGAATGATAAATTTGAAGATTTTGTATATAAGTGGATACCACTTGAAGATATACTTATAAATGAAATAAACCAGAACCACATGTGAAATTATCTTGTCTCCATAGTGTCAGAACCCAAAGGAAGAAATAAAAATAGATAATTATAACACAATTAAAAGGAAGGTGATGATTAAGGATTATACAATAAAGCTAGAAAACATGACAGGGGCAAAGCCATACATTTATATGCACTAGATGGTAAAGGCAATGATCTTGAGAATTTTCCACATGATTTTGAAACTAGAAGTTAATTGGTATTATTCTCACCCAGATTAAGTAAATATGCTGATACCTGTGAACTAAGCAACAGTACTGAAGATAGCAATGTGTAATACTAGGGTTATGCTTGAAATACCTATTATTCTGGTTTTCTATATACTTACAGTTTCTCGTGTCATTCCAATTACTGCCATACTGTCTTTCAAGTAAATGCTTATTAAAAAAGTGTAATTAATGAAAACAAGAGACAACAAAAGGAGTCATAGGACTATTCTTCTATAATGCTTTATATGGTTAGATTTCCAAATTTCTGTGTAAAAAATATGTAATTTTTTATTCCTATTTAAAATATGTTTTTATTTTTTCATTTCTTTAATTCTTCATATTCTGTAGGGACTCACAGTTTAACATATCAATACTTGATGGAAAATACTTGTTCCATGGTACATCTAAGATGTTTGATATTGAGGCAGGTAGTGAGGTTATGTTATACTGCCCACGCTGTAGGTTCATAATAGGAAGATTCTCTCCCGGAGGGTTACCAACTTAAGTTAGCAGTCCAAAAATTAGAGAAAAAGAAGAGCTGCAAGGACATCCAACATTTTGGTCCTAGTCTTTGAAGATTAGTGAGTACTCAGGACATAGGAGAACCTGTACTGTAACATCACATAACTCAATTGTGTCCCAAATTTTGTATTTAAGGAGATTATAGGGCCACAGAGTAAAGTGATCCATAATGTAGAGTGTGCCTAAGGAGAGTCACATG